GTATAGACATCTAAGTATTGAACATTCAGAGGACCACTTCCTTATATCAGTCTGATAAATGAACTTTGATTAGACATACAGTTTAGCCAGTCCTTACAATTGTTGGTCTTTGACCTTAAAAATCGCATAAGGAATTTTAGTAGACCTTTTAAATTTATTTATAGAAAAGCTTCGAAGTTTGAGAAAAAGCCTTGAATTACCTTCCTAAGCATTTGAGGATTTAACTTGCTTCAGTGGCCTAGAAGGCAAGACAGGGATTATCCCTAGAAATATATCAGTTTTCTTTTTATCTTGTCTGTAGTACCCATCCAGGTTAAGAAGTGCTCCACTTTAAGAGAGGCTAGTTCCCTTCTAACCTTGTCTGTTTTACAGATCAGGGTGAGAAGCACCAGAAGCTGAAGAGAAAGGATTTAAAAGAAAAGCTACACAATGCTGAAGGTCCTGTTTGTACTGATGTAAACTAACCTCTTGTTCTGTACAGAGGAGAGTAGGGCCCCAGATTGTTTCAGTAGGCCTGAACAAGTGATAGCTAATGAGGAAGAGCTCGGCCCTTGGCCTTACATATGTGCTGAGAGTTCCCTGCAGGTCCCAAGGAAGATAGGGAAGGAGGATATTATTCTAGATGAAATAGAGGAGATGAAATAGGAGCCTCTCCTTAATCTCATGTACGTCTACAGCATTTTTAAAAATTTAAGTAGGAAGAAAGCACAATAATCACTTATGGATATACTTTTTAAAAAATTGAAAGAGGGCTATCTGAATTAGGAGAGGCTATTTGTGATTTATCACATATAAACTGTATTTATATATCTGTAAGCTAGAGACTAAAACACCAAGATTCTCCCACCACCTCTCCATCTACCCTCATCAAACCTGGGGATCTTGAACCACACAGACCTCGTAATCAGGAACCATACAGTCATCCCATCAGAGGCCTGCCACACCAGGCCATTGAAGTCCTCCCTCCAATACCTACCATTCCAATACCTGCTACAGAAGGAACATCCAAGAGACCAAAGCCATCCAGATAGCTAAAGGCCCTACAAGAAGGCTAAAAGAAGACAATCAACAAAGACCAGAGCAATATGACACCTTCAGAGTACAGCTACACTTCAACAGCAAGCCCTGGATATCCTAACAACTGAAGCACAGAAAACATGACCTTAAATCCAATCTTATAAAGATGATAAGGGCCTTTAAAGAGGAAATGAATAAATTTCTTGAAGAAGTAAAGGGAAAATACAAACAGGTAGAGGTCTTTAAAGAAGAAGCAGATCCCTTAAAGATATACAGGAAAATACAATTAAAGAGATAAAGTAAACAAAAAAGATGTGCAAGACCTGAAAGTGGAAATAGAAGCAATAAACAAAGTACAAACTGAGGAAACTTTGGAGATAGAAATCCTAGGGAAGAGAACAGGAACAACAGATGCAAGCATCACCAACAGAATACAGGAGATTGAAGAGAGAATCTCAGACATAGAAGATACAATAGAAGAAATTGATACATCAGTCAAAGAAAATGTTAAAGCTAAAAATTCCTGACGTAAAACATCCAGGAAATCTGGGATATCATGAAAAGACCTAACCTAAGAATAATAGGAATAGAAGAGAGTGAAGAGTCCAGGCTTCAAGGCCCAGGAATATTCGCAACAAAATCATAGAAGAAAACTTTCCCGAGCTAATGAAAGAGATGCCTATAAACATACAAGAAGCTTATAGAACACCAATTAGAATGGACCAGAAAAGAAAATCTTCCTGCCACAGAATAAAGAATATTAAAAGCAGCAAGGGAAAATGGCCCGGTGACATAAAAAGGAAAACCTATCAGTATTACACCTGACTTCTCAACAGAGACTCTAATAGCCAGAAGGATCTGGACTTATATCTTGCAACCTCTTAAAAACCACAGATGCTAACCTAAACAACTATACTTCCTAAACTCTCAATAACCATAGAGGGAAAAAACAAGATATTTCATAACTAATCCCCCCACAGGAAATAAGTAATTCCATACCAACATAAATAACAAATGATCATACATGAGTGCACACACATACACACACTCACATTCTTAACACCACCAACATCAAAATAATGGGAATTAACAATCAGTTATCATTAATATTTCAACTTCAATAGACTCAATTCCCCAATAAAAAGCCACAGGCTAACAGTGGATGTGAAAACATGATCTACCATTCTGCCGGATATAAGAAACACACCTCTGCCATAAAGATATACATTACCTCAGAGTAAAGAGCTGGAAAAATTTTCCAAGCAAAGGGACACAAGAAGAAAGGTGGAGTAGTCATTCTAATATCTAATAAAATAGACTTTCAACCAAAATTGATCAAAAGAGACAGGAAAGGACACTTCATACTCATCAAAGGAAAAGCTTCCAAGATGATATCTGAATCTGGATACCTATGTCCTAAATACAAGGGCACCCACATTTGTAAAAGAAACATTGCTAAAGCTTAAATCACACATTGAACCCTACACATTAATAGTGGGAGACTTTTAACACCCCACTTAGACCAATGGCAGGTCATCCAGACAAACACTAAACAGAGAAATAAGACAGACATTATGAATCAAATGGATGTAACATACATCTATAGAATATTTCAACCAAACACAAAAGAATATACCATTTTTTCATCATCCCACTGGTGTGATAGGGGTACTGACACACCCACAAAGCTTTCAACCCAAAATTTATTCTGTCTACAAGAAATACAGGAATGGTAGATGGAGCAAAGACTGAGGGAATGGTCAACCAATAATCAGCCCAACTTGAGACCCATCCCATGGGCAAGTACCCATCCCTGACACTACTAATGATACTCTGTTATGCTTGCAGACAGGAGTCTAGCATGACTATCTTCTGAGAGGCTCCACCCAGCACCTGACTGAAACAGATTTGGACACTCACAGCCAAACAATGGGTGAAGCTTGAGGACTTTTTATCAAAGAATAGGGGAAAGGACTGTGAACCTCTGAAGAAGATAGGAACTCCACAGGAAGACCAATGAGTCAACTAACCTGGACCCCTGGGGGTTCTCAGAGACTAAACTAGCAACCAAAGAACATACACAGGATGGACCTAGGCTTCTTCACACATATGTAGCAGATGTGCAGCTTGACCTTCATGTGGGTCCCTAACAAGTGGAGTGGGGCCATGCATGTAGAATATGTTGTTCTAGCTGGGCTGCCTTAAAGGCTGCCCAAGAAGGCCTCCACCCCCTCAGAGGAGAAGGGGAAAGATTGTGGGAAGGGGTGACTGGGAAGGGGCAGTTGATAGAGATGTAAAGTAAGTAAGTAAAAATAAAACAATAAAACAGACATCTAAAAGAACTCAGAGGGTGAGGGATTCTTAACCCTTTATTTGTTGTAACTGGTAAAAGCAAAGACACCTAGCGTCCATGTGTGCCATGGACCAGAGACAAAAGCCGACCAATGTGGAACAAAGCAGTTTTGAAGCGAAATGTTCAATCTTAGAGGAAGATGGGTCTGAATATAGCAAGCAGAAATAACAGGCATTAAGACCCAGCAGGGCCTGAATCTCCAGCCTCTCTTCCTGGCAAGCTTGAGTCTGCCTTAGCCCTAGCAGCTGCCCACTGGCAACAGCTTGTGCCCCACCTGGCAACTTATCATTTCAAGTCCCTCCTAGTTGGGATCTGTGTTTTCCCACTATTCATCCCTGGGCCACTGTAAGTCTCACACCAGTAGCTCCCTTTGTTAACAGGCCAATGTTGTGAGCACAGTCTCTTAAGTTCCCTGTAGAAATCAGTGAATATGTCATGTAAAACCTGCCTCAAAATTAAAAGGAAACAAAAAACTAAAAGGTAAGAAAAATATCTTGGAGTTCTGGTGTTACCTCCTTAGGCCACTACAAAAGGGAGTGAAGGAAGAGATACTGTTGCAACCCTTATCTTTGTTTAGATTAGCTTAAAATCAGCCTCCAAGGGCTCCCTTAGCCCACATGTTCTATAGATGTGAAGCGGGAGTAAGGAAGAGTTTGAGCTATTCCTCTAAGATTCCCCAACATGATTTCATTGGTGAGACAGTTGCCCTCAAAATTCTAAGAACATAGGGATTCCCTGGGTATTAAATTGAAAGTTCTGATTTAGTAAGTCTAGAGTAGGGCATGGTCATACACACTTTCTTCAAGTTCCCAGGGGATGATACTGTGACAGAGCTGTGATTCACTCTTGGAGGAAGAGCAAGGGTCAAGAGGTTTGCTGAACCCCTTGCTGAAGGTAACATTTTAAAAGTTGGCCAAAATAATTTCTCTAAAGTGTACATTAATGTCATTTATGTTTTGTGATTTACATTTTTTGCCATCATTGAATACTTACAAATGAAAATTAAAGTCCTTGACCAAAAAATAGAAACATTCCATCTAGTCATGTAATCACACTATTTTTTAAAAAATTCATTGATGTTTTGGGTTTCAGCCCTTCCTAAATACACTGCATTTTGCTTGACAGTATCCTATTTCACGCCTTCATCTGTTGAATGTGTAAAATACCCAGGTAGTAGCTATGTTGTCATGGAATAGGCAGCGGAGAGGCAGGTAGACCACCTGAATTCTCCATCCAGCGTTCTTAGATGTCTTGAATTCTGAGTTCTACATGTATAAAACAGAGCTAATTGGTTTTTTTTGGGGGGGGGAGTAGGATGGCTGTTCTATTGTTGTATGCAAGATAAGAAAGTATTGGCATGTTGTGCGTATTCAATTAAGTAGTTTCAAGTCAAATAGAAGGATTGAGGATGAAAATATGCTGCAAAAAATGTTCAAGACTCCTTTAAATGGTTGTTTCGTTTGTTCAGATTTTCTTCTGAAAATACTGATTAAAATCCCTTAACTTCCTTGCAGAGCTGGTGCTGCTTGTGGGATGTCCCGTTCTGGTTTGTCTGTGTGCTGTAATGGGAGGAAGGACTTGCTGAGAGGATAGCAGCGCTGACCTTCTCTACTGTCCTCTTCCTTTGCAGATTACTCTTCTGCGGTTCAGAAATTTTCCCAGACACTCCAGTCATTTCAGTTTGATTTCATTGGAGACACGCTGACCGATGATGAGATTAATATTGGTAAGTCTTCAGGAGCATGTGGCCATACAACCCTTAGAAGCCATCTGTCCCCACCTAACTTCCATTCTGGATACAAAAGCAGCTTGGGGATCTATCTCTTCATCCCTCTGGTCTAATGCAAGGCCCTGGGAGACTGCTTAAGAATGTTAAAAAATCCCACATATTCTCATCTCCCTCATCATACTGAAGCATTGAAGGTGGCTCCTGAACATCCACTGAGGCCATTGGTTAGACTGAAGGGAGACTTTCCTTTAAATCACCTAATACTCATGTGATGATGGACAATGTATTTCCCTTCTTTGAGTCTCATTCTTCTGCAAAATAGGATTAATCTCTCTCTGGAAGTCATTGTAGAGGAGATTGAACAGTGGAAGTAGAAGGACCTTTGTGCTTATTTTTATTCTGATGAAAGTAAAAAAAAAAAAAAAGTAAGGACTATGCATTTTCAGCACCACCTGCTATAGCAGCTGTGAGTGCATGGAGGGGCTGCCTCCAACCTACAGTGAGGTCATTGGTTATTACCCAGGCTCCTCCTTCCAGCACCAGCAAAGTACAGGGCAGTACTCCCTGTCAGAGGGGGCCCGGCTCCATCACCCTCACATTGCCCCACTGGAGAACAAGGAGAAGTAGAAACAAAAAGGTCACCTCCTCTAGGAGTGGGTGCCGGGGCACCTGTAGGCAAAACCACAAAAATAAATAAATAAATAAATAAATAAATTAATAAATAAAAACACTCTGCACTTCTTAAGAGAGAAGAGAGAGGAAGGCAGGAAACACACAGGTCATATGGTTTGTGCTAGTTCTCCTGTGTATAAATATTTACATGTTCTGTGTGGTCTGAATGCAGAAGCTTAGAAAGCTTGCAAAAAAGGAAAAGATACCATGTTTCTTTGTTGAGCCGTGTCTTGAAGGCGAAAGAGAAACCGCTCCACGAGTCTTTTCTTGTTCTTAGTGGAGCTCTGTGTGTGAATGCTTAATTTCTTTTGTTTATGATGGTTTTACTTAACTTTAAAGACATATTTGCACAAAACCTTTGTTTAAGATCTGCAATAGTATATATATATAAATATATATAAAATAAGAGACTCTATATGTGGGGGAGCCAGACTCTGTATGTGGGAGAGCCAGTATTTTTGTATTAGAAGAGGCCTATTAAAAAAAACAGTTGTTTTCTGAACTAGAAGAGAAAAAAATGGCAAGCTTTTGAGTGTCAACTCCAATAGTGTGTATTACCTTGTAAAGAAAAAGAATTCTACAAAGCAGGGGTTTAGAGCTATTTATATAAATGTTGAGATTTTGCACTATTTTTAAATATATCAGTGCTTGTTTGATGGAAACTTCTAAAGGAGTCTGTTGAGACTTGGAGAAATGTTGACATTCAGTCTGAACAGAGCATTGGGGGTGTGTTTCTCCGCCCCTGGGTCTCAGAGGGCCCCCACTGTGCAGGAAAGCCAGGCTCCCCAGGGCCATGCGCCTTTAAGCAAAAGGATGCTTCTGTCCAGACAGACTGTGAACAGTCAGTCACACATTCCCTGCCAAAGGGGACCCCTGTCATCCTCTGGGTTATAGCTGAGTCAGGACCGCCCCCCACAGAGGCACCTGGTCCCAGATGCCTTTCCCAATATGCAAAATAAACTGCTACCAAAGGGAAAAACAAAACAAAACAAAACAAAAAACTATGCATTTCCCTATCTCTTTTTATATGTGTTATTGGGACCTAGGCATACTTTATCTAATGGGTGTTTTGTTCGGCAGAGCAGCTTTGGATAGTAGTAATAGTGACCAATAGCCCTCAAAAGTTAAGGTGTTTACTTTCTGACTAGATTGAAAGAGTTTGCTGGCTCTTGAGTTAAAAGTTTGGTAAAAAGTATTTTCCAGGTTGGCCATGGTGGTGCATGTTTTTAATTTCAGGATCTAGGACAGAAGCACATAGAGTTCTTTCATTCTATGAAAGCTTGGTCTATATAGTGAGCTCCAGGCCAGCCATGGCTACATAGTGAGACTCTGTATTTATAAAAACGGAGTATGAGGACAGTGAGCCAGACAGCTGTCATGAGTGATACATTGTTATTGAAAAGACCTGATGTATACAGCTACACTTATAATCCCCAGGATTAAAATACAAAACATTATTATACAATCTCATTGTAGCTAATTTGTATGATATATTAATATATAAAGGATGCCATTACTAATGATATTATTCATGCATAGTTGGGCAGCATAGTGGGCATATTAACTTTTGAATATTTTCTTATATGCTTCCATTTTCTTTTTTAATTTTTTATTGGATATTTTATGTATTTATGTATTTATAATACAGATGTTATCCTCTTCCCCATTTCCCCTCCACAGAACCTCTCTATCCCACCCCCCCTCCTTTATGCTTTTATGCCATTTTAATTATATGCATGTATTAAGGTCTTTAAATTTTCTTTTCTTTCTTTTCTTGAGACAAGGTCTTGCTGTGTGTCTCAGGCTGGCAGTGAACTCCTTTTTAAAAAGATTTATTTTTACTTTCATATGTACTTACATATTTCCATATGTCTGTATGTAGATACGGGTGTGAGTACAGTGCTCTAACAGGCCAAAGAGCCAGATCCCCTGCAGCTGGAGGCCATTGTGAGCATTTCTGACACAGGTCCTGGGGTCCTTTGCAAGAAGAGTATGTGGTCTTCATAACTGCTGAGCCATTGCCTTTTCTAGTCCCCAGCCTTGAACCCTTGATTGTCTTGTTTCAGCTTCAGAAGTGCTGGGATTGTAGGCATATATAACCATGACTGGCTCATCTATCCATTTTCTCTGCATGGAAATTACTTAAAAGCAAATATAAAATTTAAACTGGAGATATAGCTCAGTTGATAGAGTACTTGTCAGGAATGCAAGAAACTCCAGATTTGATTTCCAGCACTGCAAAAAAAACCAAAAACCAAAAAACAAAACTGTGTGTGGTTGCACATACCTATAATCTCAGCACTTATAAAGCAGAAGTGGAAATATCAGAAGTTTAGATTTATCCTTAGCAGCATACCAAGTTTGAATCCTGCCTGGGCTGTATAGATCCTGTCTCAAATCAAATGTGTATACATATTTTTGAGTAGGCTCAAAAAGTAACCTTTTATATTTTTTTTACTTAAAATTTTATATAAGAAAATTCCCATATTGTTTCAATTTCTTCCTAAGTTTCACAAGACAGCAAGGACATTGTTTCATTCATTACTATTTCATTAACATATAAAAGAATGCTAGGCATATAGTAGATGCCGAACCCATGTTTACTATTAATATACTATATAATAATAGCTATTCCCATTATTATATTTCATTTACATAGATTTTTTGATATAGTTCTATTTAGCTACTTTTAAGATTCACCTGTTTTATAGTTTTTACTATTTTAAATAGTGTTGTAGAAACCTTTGTGTTAATAACATTGGGGTATTTTCATTAAATGTTGTTGTGTTACTTAGTGAGGTAGGTACTTGTATCTGAGGTATTTCCAATGTGATTGGATTTCATTCTACTTATGTAGGTCTGTCCTGCTCTAAGAGCATGACTTACTAAATTTACCAATAGCTCTGGTGATAAGCAGCCTAAATTTGACTGGCAGATCTACAGCTTATTTGGTGTGGTACTTGGGCAACCAGTCTCACCTTTTTGAATGTTATTTTTCATCTACTTCTGGTGGGTGGTGGGCTAGAAGGGAGATTTTAAAACATTTAAGAACCTTTATTAAAAGTAGATTTTGAAAAACCAATGACTAAACAGCAGCATTCTGCCCCACTGCCCCTGTCCCTGATTGTTGGTACAATGTGACTATTGCTATGTGTCCCTTGCCACAAATACTCTGTCCTCAAACACTGAGCTGAGATAAGCCCTGCTTTCCTTAACTTGGTCACAGCAATAAAAAAGTAACTCATATGCCCATTTTATAGATAAAACTGCTTCCAGATCCTCCCTCCACTTCTCTCTCCACTCCTCTCCAGTGATTTAGTTTTTAATGGATGATACTCAAAAGAGATAAAGAAAATGATTGAAGTAAAAAGGTTATTGGACCTTTAAATCTTATAGAAGTTACTTTTCAGGAGGAGGTCTTTCAACTATTTAGGGACATGTAACAATAGCTATCCACCTCCGCACTTTTGATCAGAAGCAACAGATATCTATTAGAGCATACCTTCACCTAAATTAAGGTCTGTTTGCTCACTGGAGCTCCTCTGAGAGATGTAAGTTAAGTCCTATTGCTTAAGACACTATGCACTTTAAACAAAGGGCCCAGAGGCTTTGAGCGGAACTAACCAGAAAGCCTTGTAGCATAAGGTACCATGCTAACTTCCAAAGGAGGAAATAGTAGGACTGATAGTTCTACCTACCTATGATGCCTGTGAACCACAACAAAGATCAGCATGGCACAGTAAGCCTAAGGATGCAGTAGTGGCGTGCGTATCTTGGCAGTAAACAACATCTCTCCAATTGGACTTAAGAGTGGCTAAACAAGAGGGATGTTGTACCTGATACTGGAAACCTAGCCAACGACCAAGAGTTAGTGGAATGGTGGATCTTAGAGGTGAAACTATAACCACTATTTTACTAAATAATCCTTATCTTTAAATGTTCTTATAGAACATTTTTAAAAAGGAGACAGCAAATATGGGGGAGATGTGAGAGAAAGTTCATATGCCCAGGAAAAAAACTAAGGTTCACCCAGAAAAGATCTAAGAGTGTACGATTATATCACATGCTGATTTTTGGCTGAAAGAGTACCTGCAATGGTAAACAATAATTAGCAATAATAAAAGAAAGTGAGTAGGAGAATCTGAAGGCACAAATAAACATGGAAGCGTGCCACTTTCAAAGGAAAGAAAATAAAAAATAATAAAGAAATAACATAGAAAATGTAGGGGTCAATGACATAGCTCTAATCCTGGCATCTATGAGATAGAGACAGAAAGATTTGAAGTTTAAGGTTATCCTTGTCTACATAGTTAGCGTGAGGCTAG